CGCTAGCCTTCAGGTCATTCCTCCGACTCTGTCGCGTTCTATTTGACGTGTTCAGTCCGACTTCGCTCTCTTTGACCCAGCATATATCTTCTGTGGCGTCCATTTCCCCTCGATCTCTGCGTCAAATCAAAACTCTGCTTGCACAGCTTGCTCTCGAAATCCTCAACGCTTCTTTCAATTTTGCATTTCAATTCCCCCAGTTCATGAACCTTTGAGTGTTGTGAGTCATTCTAACGCACTGCCAACGATGCTTTACAACGCCTTCTTGGCTCAGTTGGCTAGAGCGCAGGTCTCATAATCGCCTGGGCATCCCAGACATGAGTGGCTTCGGCCATATAATCCTGAGGTCGCAAGTTCGAGCCTTGCAGAGGGCATTTCCTTTTACTTTTATCATCTGTGGGCACCTCAAACCCGCATCCAAAGACAAACAATGTTTTTTTGATTTCGTTACAAAGTCTGAGGTCTAAATTTTGACGTGGAATTCATCTCAATGTCATCGACGACCTCCTGATTAATCGTGATCATGACGGATTGCTAAAGAAACCAACCGGTCAGCAATTGCCAATTACACATCGGGGCGTCGAAAACTCTTACATGTACGGGACCAGCCTTACTTTCCGTCGATCCTGCCAAGTCACCGCCCATGTTGGATAACTGAGAAATATTCGACACGCCACCAAATTTTTGTGAGAGAGAATCGCGGCGGTTTAACATTCCCAGCAAACTGTTCAAGAAAACTGTGTGTATACCAAACAGGTCGTATCATCACACATTAATTTGAATTGTGGCGGAGGACTCACGTTTGCTCATGGAGAAGTAAATGCCAATATAGGTGAATTCGTCTGGCCAGACGGCGTAGGTGACGAAGCAAGCGATCGAGCCGATTCTGTTGTGCACATTAGAATGACTTCTATATGTTGCGATTTGCGACTCAATAACTGACGTGGTCAATAAACCTTGAGAGAGGTTATACGTCAAACAAAGTTACTCGAACACTGTTTCTCTACTCACTTGTATTAATCACATACACCATTAACACGGTTACAAGCGAATCAGTCCTATGAGAATTTCAAGTTATGAGAACCGAATCATGAGAGCCAACGGACGCACTTTTTAAATCCAGTCCGCTGTCCGTGAAGACTGAAGCAGAGAAAACCAGCGAT